ATAAACACCTTATGGGCGTTAGACACTCACACTCCATTTCACACATGTTCCAACCTTAACACCACTAAAATATCCTCCAAAATCACATACTAAGTGCAGCTACAGTCCACCAATCTTACCACCCACAAAAAATACAACATATGTTAGCAATTCTACTAATAAAAAAAAAAAGAAAACAACTATATAAATGCAAAACTAAAAGCACACGAAATTCTGACAAAAAAAGAAAAAAATTAAAAGAAAAAGGAAAAATGGAACAAGGAACTCATACCTGTAGTGATAGCTTGTGGGGAGAAGAGAAGAAAAGTAGATGGGAATGTGGCTTGAGACCTGGGAAAGTGAGGTTGGAGAGGAAGGGAGTTCTTTGAAGAAGAAGGGGGGTTTAGGGTTGGGAAGTTGTTTATATCGGTGGGGGGAATTTGGGAGTGAAGGGGGGTTATTNAGACTTGGACGGGAGTAGAGCGGTTGTAGCGCAGCACGAGCGCGGCCGCGCTAGTCCAGGCAAAACACTAGGCGATATGCGCGGCCACTAGCGCAGCTTGTAGCGCATTCAGATGTGCGTTCATCAGTGTGGTCGCGCTAGTATTTTGGGGCTGAGGTAGAACACTTTCCCATATGCACAGCCTGTAGCGCGACCGGTAGCGCGGGCGCGCTCCTGGGCACGTTTATTTTTCATATTTTTCACTTGTTCTTACCACTTTCGATGGCCTTATCACCCGCCCATTGTCACTTTCATTGGTTAGTACTTCCCAAAACTCACAATTAACAACTACTACTATCATTGGGTTGCCTCCCAACCAGTGCCTTAGTTAATGTTGTGGCATGATGATTATAACAATTCAATGGGTTACCTCCCATGTAGCGCCTGATTTAACATCGCGCCATGACGTAGACAAGCGCATTTAAGGCTCGCTCGACCTTTGAGGTTCCGTCAGGTGGATCTCTGACACTGCCTTTGGTTCCTTCATGCCTACATATAGCTTCAATCTCTGCCCATTAACTCTAAACGTGTGAGAGTCTTTCTCTGAGGCAATCTCTACAGCCCCTAAATGGAATACTTCGACCAGTCGAAATGGACCAGACCATCGTGACTTAAGCTTACCCCGGAATAGCCTTAATCTTGAATTATAGATCAAAACCTTGTCCTCAGGGCTGAAATGTCGCTCAACAATGTTCTGATCGTGCAATCTCTTCATTCTTTCCTTGTACAACCTTGTGCTCTCAAAAGCCAGATAACGGAAGTCGTCAAGCTCATGCAATTCAGTGATTCTCGTTGTGCCCACAGCTTCAATGTCTAGGTTCAGCTGTTTTGGTGCCCACCAAGCTTTATGTTCAAGTTCCACTGGTAAGTGGCAGGCCTTCCCAAACACCAACTTATATGGTGACATACCAATTGGTGTTTTAAAAGCAGTTCTATAAGCCCAGAGTGCATCATCTAGCTTTTTCGCCCAATCAGTTCTTGTGGCGTTTACAGTCTTGGTCAATACACTCTTTATCTCTCTATTAGACACTTCCACCTGTCCACTGGTCTGCGGGTGATACGGTGTTTCCACCTTGTGGTGTACATCATACTTTGCTAGCAACTTCTCGAAGGCTCGATTACAGAAGTGGGTGCCTCCGTCACTGATAATCGCTCTCGGGGTCCCAAAACGGGTGAATATGTTCTTCTTCAAAAATCCCACCACCACTCTTGCATAATTAGTGGGCAATGCTGCATCTTCAACCCATTTGGATATGTATTCCACAATAACAAATATGTACTTATTGCCAAAGGAGCTGACGAAGGGTCCCATGAAATCAATCCCCCAGACATCAAACACTTCCACCTCTTGAATCGGGTTCATGGGCATCTAATGGCTACAGGAAATGTTCCCGGTTCGCTGACATTCATTGCAGCCTTCACCCATTGGTGCGCATCTTTAAACACTGTTGGCCAAAAGAAATCGGCTTCTAGAACTTTCGCAGCTGTCCTGACTCCTCCAAAATGCCCTCCATACGCCGATGCATGACATGCCTGCAAAATAGAAGATTGTTCTATCTCGGGGACGCACCTCCGAATCATATTGTCAACACATATTCGCAATAGGTAAGGTTCATCCCAATAATACATGCGGCAGTCACGATAAAACTTTTTCTTTTGTACAGAGGAAAGGTCATAGGGAACTATACCACTGGCCAGGTAATTTGCAAAGTCTGCATACCATGGCACTTCCTCAAGACTAGTAGTGAGCAGTTGCTCGTCTGGAAAAGTTTCCAGAATATCCTCAACCTCAACTGAGTTTTCAGCTCCCTCAAGTCATGATAGATGGTCAACGACTTAGTTTTATGTGCCCTTACAGTTACGAATTTCGTGGTCGAACTCTTGTAATAACAGCACCCAACGAATTAGGCATGGTTTAGACTCCATCTTCTCAATCAAGTACCTGAGAGCTGCATGATCAGTGTATACAATTACCTTAGAGCCAATCAGGTACGATATGAATTTGTCAAAAGCAAACACCACAGCCAACATCTCCTTCTCAGTCACAGTGTAGTTCAACTGGGCTCCACTCAGCTTTCTACTGGGCTTCACTTAGTGTTCTACTAGCATAGTAGATTGGATGCATTAGCTTGTCTTTCCGCTATCCCAGCACTGCCCCCACTACGTAGTCATTGGCGTCACACATGAGTTCGAATGGGTTCTCCCAGTCGGGGGCAACAATGATGTGTGCTGTGATTAGCCTCTTTTTCAACTCCTCGAATTCTACCCTACAATCATCAGAAAACAAGAAGGGGTGATCTTTTTCTAACAACTTACAGAGAGGGTTGGCAATTTTTGAGAAGTCTCTTATGAATCTCCGGTAGAAACCGGCATGCCCGAGGAAGCTTCTGATTGCCTTGACTGAAGTTAGAGGGGGCAACTTTTCTATCACATCAACTTTAGCATGATCCACCTCGATTCCTTTGCATGAGACTCGGTGTCCCAGGACTATGCCCTCTTATACCACGAAATGACACTTCTCCCAATTAAGAACTAGGTTAGTCTCAATACACCGTTTCAGCACACGAGTCAGGTTTTTAAGGCACTCCTCGAATGAGTTTCCCACCACTGAGAAATCATCCATGAATACCTCCATTATGTCTTCTACCATGTCAGTGAATATGGCTACCATGCACCTTTAGAATGTGGCGGGTGCATTGCATAGGCCAAAAGGAATCCTCCGAAAAGCATAAATGCCATATGGGCAAGTGAATGAGGTCTTCTCTATGTCCTCTGGTGCAATGAAGATTTGATTGTACCCTGAGTATCCATCCAGAAAACAGAAGTGTGACCTCCCTATCAATCTGTCTAGCATCTAATCAATGAAGGGAAGTAGGAAGTGGTCTTTCCGGGTGGCTAGAATTAACTTTCTGTAGCCCATACAAATTCTCTATCCCGTGACGGTTCTCGTAGAGATCAGTTCATTGTTATTATTTTTGACCATCATCATGCCACCCTTCTTAGGCATACATTGAACTGGGCTAACCCAGCTACTATCAGAGATTGGAAAAATGATTCCCGCATCTAACCACTTTATCACTTCTTTCTTCACCACTTCCTTCATGTTGGTGTTCGGTCTTCTTTGGTGTTCCCTAGAAGGTTTGTGCCCCTCTACCAGCAGAATTTTATGCATACAATAGGCAAGGATGATCCCCTTAATGTCTGTCATAGTCCACCCAATGGCAGTCTTATACTCTTTGAGTACTTGCAAAAGTTATTGTGCTTGCACATCTAACAAACTAGATGAGATAATAACAAGTAAGTGGAACTAGGTCCAAGGAACTCATACCTGAGATGGGTGGGCAGTGGCTTCAATTCTAGCTTTGGTGGTTCTTCAATGGATGACTTGGCTGGAGGAGTTTCTCTATTTTCTAAGTGCAAGGGCTCAAATTCAAGGGTTCTATCCCAGAACCCTCTGCCCTCTAATGCCAACACCCATTCTGTCAGTTCTTCTTTATTCACCTCATCTAAATTCATCAGACATGCAGCCAAAGGATCCTCAATAGTCAGCATCTCATCATCAGCTTCTACGATTACACCACGACATCAATAAGAGAGCAATTGGCAAATTCACTTGGACACCTCATAGATTTCTGCACATTGAATGTTATCTCTTCATCGTTCAATCTCATCTTGAGCTCCCCAGTCTCACAATCAATGAGAGCTCTCCCATTGGCAAAGAACGACCTTCCCAAAATTATGGAAATTTCTTCATCCACCTTGCAGTCTAGGATCACAAAATCTGCAGGGAACACAAATTTCCCTACCTAAATCAACACATCATCCAAGATACCAGAAGGTCTTTTCATGGTCCTGTCAGCCAGCTGCAACAACATAGAAGTGGGTCTAGCTCTTTCAATACCCAACCTCTTATAGATCACCAAGGGCATAAGATTTATGCTAGCCCCCAAATCACACAGTGCTTTGGCGAAAGCAAAATTACCAATGGTACATGAAATAGTGAAACTCCCTGGATCGGACAGCTTCTCAACAATTGGTCTCGTCACCACTGCACTGCAGGTCTCAGTCAGCATCACCGTGGCCAAATCTTGGAAATTGAACTTTCGGGACATCAAGTCCTTCATCATTTTTGCATAACCGGGAATCTCCTTCAAAGCATCTATCAATGGAATATGTACCTGGATTTGTTTCAGCATCTCCAAGAATTTCTTGTATTGTTCCTCTTNTGGGCTGTCTTAGCCTCTCTTTCAGCTTCAATCTATGTGTCATGTTCTTCCTGGCACTACTAGGAATTGGGCCTATGGGAACAGTTTGTTGGCAACGGTTGATATAACCGTTACAATAGACCATCTATTGCAACGTTTATAACCGTTGCAGTAGGGTATATATCTTCTTGCGACCCTTTTTTTTTACTAAACCGTTACAGTAGTGTTGGAACCCTTCCATTAGTCTTTTCTATTACCACGGTTTTCAAAACCGTCACAGTAGATATATCTACGGGAACGGTTATCTAAAAATAAAATCTATTGGGACGGTTCAGATTCCTTCCTTATTTTCCCCCTTTTATTTTTTGCTGAACCCTAACCTTTTGAGTGCATTTTTGTTTTCTTTTTAATTGCTAATATTTCTTAGCCTAAAGAGAGACAAAGTAGTACTTTGAGACATAATGTTGCTAAGTCCAAATCGATAGTTGAATCCAAAACATATCATCTTGATATAACACTCCTAAAGAAGAATCCATCGTTTTTAAGCGACAGTATGGAGGTTTATTTTGCGTATGGAGGTCGTAAATCTGGACTTTAAAGAACATATCTTTTTATTCTACCCGCTAGGTCTCATTTCACCAGTGAAGGTCGCCGATCTGAGCTCCCAATGAATTCATTATTTTCTTCCACAACTAGGTCTATTATCGAGCAAAGTCAAACGCATTTCACATTTAGTTCCTTTCGGGTTAGTGATTTTTATATTTACTGCAGTTTTGTTTTTGGGGTTTTGAGAGTTTCTTCTAATTTGTTCAATTTTGTTTCATCAAAATAGCGAGTAGACTTACTGGATTATCTCTTCATATTGTGAATACCTAATTTTCTGCGAGGGGTTGTTTGTTTGGTTGTATGCTAAAATTATGCTTACTCAAAATATGCCGTGCACATTAACTATATGATAAAATGTCGACCCATTAGCGGTAGTTACTCAAAATCTGTTTGTTACTTGAATGTATCTAGATTTACAAATCTCTATATGTAAGCCTGACTGTAATATTGATTCTCTGTTCTCTTAACATGAATATTAGTTGACCAAATTAGACATTATCAATTATAGTTCATTTGGAAGTTGTACACTTTTTAGTCTTTAAATTATCCAATTCGTGGCTATATAATCTTTACATTGAGAAAAATCAAAAGAGTAGTTCCTTTGGCGGAAATAGAATATGTCATTAGTCATCTGGAAATACAAATTAGAATTGCATATTGCAATTGCTACTGAAGGTTTAAAGATTTGTCAAAATCGAAGTTTACTTTGATGCTTTTTTAAACTTTGAAAGATTGAAAATTTTACACTTATTATGAGTATATGACAAAGAGAAAAGGAGAATCTGTTTATTGGGGTAATTTCTAATGGTTTAACTTTATTTTTCTCAGATTTGTACAAGGAGGCTTGAAATGGTCCTTTTTATCTGTTGGTAGGATCATTTCTTTTGTGTTAGACTACGAAAATAACAACAACAACAACAACCCAGTATAATCTCACTTAATAGGGTCTGGGGAGGGTAGTGTGTAGAGAGGCTATTTCCAAATAGACTCTCGACATCCTTCCATCCAAGAACTTCCCACCTTGCTCTTGGGGAGACTCGAACTCACAACCTCTTGGAGCATTCTTTTGTGTTAGACTGAAAACTAATATTCCATTTACTTAGTTCTATGGGTAGAGCTAAGAGTTAGATTTGATTAATTCCAGAAAAGCTTAGTTACGGCTACTACGACTTTATCCAATCTATTTGTTCATTTTCTCACATCACTTTGTTGAGTTGACAACATGAAAAGTCATCTTTAACGAAAGAAATACGATGTTGCCATGCCTTCCCTTAAGACTTGCAATAGCTTCCATTGTCACCCTCTCTCAATGCAGGAGAAATTGAGGTAGTCTTGACAGGCCTAACTGTGACTTCCATTTGCCATACCGATTTATGACTAGTATGCGCTTTCCTTCAAGTATGTGCTTACAATTGCAAATTTATGGTGAATCTGTGGTTATAGGAATCTGATGTCATAAGAGATGCAAGAGTGCTAATGGATACGTTGTGCTCTTCAACTTTTGAAGATTACACAACTTACAAGATACTCACCTGTCTACTAGAATGTTAGTACCTATTGGCTGCTATATTGTAGTGACCTAGAAATGGTGTGATTTACCTTTTTACTTCATCCGTATAAGTTTGATTGAGCTTAGATATCTTCTCATGTCATATTTGGTTTTCTGATTTGTAATCGATTTGTCAGGAATGACCTGTCAATTCTAGTTCAAAGGAGATTTTCTTGTTCCTAAATCCTAGTTACAGTTATGTAGAGCCTAATAGAAAGTAATACTGAAAGGAGCATTTTGTGGACATTATGGTCAGGGACTTACTTTTTGTTGTTTCTTCATGTGCACTAGGTGGACGAAGAACGTAAAAGTTTAGTGAACGCACAACGTGCTCTTAGGAAATGGCATGACTCAAATAGCTATTGGCCTACTGCTCGCTGCACCGAGAAGCATAACTTATTAGTTGCTGCTATAAATACCACGGTGTTTAGTGTCATGAGCTACATCCCGCAAATAGCTGTTAAAGAAATCTCCAGGGCATATAAAAGAGGTTTGGTCACGGCAGAAAAAGGAGGAAGATGCTTCTGATTTAAGGTGAATGAAGGAGTTTGGAATGATTACATGTAGTTGTTGCGGTCCCAATGAATTGGTGTGCTCAGACTTTTAACTTCCTAAAAAAGTTTAGTACTACTTTGTGACTTGGTAACTCTTTTCTGAAAATTAGTAATCCAAATTTCACCAAAAATATGGTAAATTTTAAGTCTGGTTTCTAACTTGTAGTTCTTTCTATACTTTTGTGTACAACATCATAAGCAATAATGGAATCAGATGCTATCGAATTTCTACTAAGACTTTTTGATAGCAAACAGTCACAACCAATAGTGCAAGAATCTGCAGCTAAGGTTATTTTACAGAGGTTACCTGCTGGCCATTTGCATAATTTTGGATTCAACATTATCTCGAAGGTACTATACTGCTATCTTCTTGGTTATTTCAATTCTGGGTCTATCTCATTGTCCCTTTCTTTTGTGGAATTGGTAATTTGTAGTTTCTACTTAAGGTTCACTAATTCTCTTGATTTAATTAATAGATAAAGGCTCAAAATCGTTGAAAAATATTATTTCTTGAAGAACTAGTTGAGTGATTTGGTTATGACACAAATAGAATCTGTATGTGTTCTTCAGTGTGGATCTTAATGTGTTGTCCTCATTGTTAAGTGAAGGAAATTTATGGTTGATTTGTGTTTTTTGTGTGAACTTTTAGTTCATTAATAAGTTCAAAATTATGAGTCACTGCTTTGCAAAGTCTTGGGGCCTTCAGCTTAATACTTGAACAAAAGCTCCCATTCATGCCCAACAGTTTGCAATTTAAGGACATTTCAATAAAATTCACTTACATATTTTCAGAAATATCCTTGAAACAAAACCATTTAGAGTAGAAAGGGTCATTAAAAGTAAAAATTAGACCTTTAAGATTACCACTACATACAATATTTTCAGTGAATCCTCAAGCAAACACAGTTCATGAAGCTGAAAAGTTGATTGTTTAGCACACTATGCTTTAAACCACCTCTGGAAACTCATGTCTTCAGCAGAAGCCACAAGAAGGGCTGGAACACATTATTTCCCTCTTATTTTAATTTTGATTGTTATCTTTAAATATTTATCCCTCTTATTTTAATTTTAACAGGAATTAAATTCAACTCCTTGCAAAGCTACTGCATTATCTTGTTAAAACTGTTCTTTTTATTCTAAATTGTGATAAAAATATGCTAAGTTTAATCACTAGAAATTACTTATTGAAACTAATTGATGGATATGAATACGCGAAGTTGGATATGAAACTATGTGAATTTGTTTATGATTTATTGCTATGTAATATAATCTGATAAAGATTATTCTTTTTCATGGTTTTGTAGGTAAAACAAATAATCAACAAGTTGATGAAAGCCATGAAGACCTTACTTAAGAGTATTGGTTGATCATTCCTAGACTTTCAAATGTTTTAGGAATCTTTTAATTCAGAACTCTTAGAAACCTCATACGAAACTCTTCAATTGTCAAACAATATTGCATTTGTTGTTTTTATAAATGGATAATGTTTGTTGTATTTTTCGGATTGTGAATTTGTATCTTTTCCAATTTATTTAAATTTTAATATTTACGATATTCTCTTTAGGTAAATTAATATTGTAATAGAGCACCAAAATAACCGTTGCAATAACCTAAAATTACCATTGCAATAGCCAAAAAACTCGTTGCCATAGATCAGAAACCCGTTACAATAACCTACACAACCGTTGCAAAAGATTATACTAAAATGCTTAATAACCGTTCAAATAGTCTAAGCAACTGTTGCAATAGCATCCTTTATTGTAACGGTATCAAAAGCATTGTATTAGACAAGTTATTGTAACGGTTCCACAACCGTTGCAATAGACCTACTGCAACGCGATCTGGTGAAATGGTTCATTAACCGTTGCAATAGGCCTATTGCAACGGTTTTGGTGCCTAATGCAACAGATTTTGAACCGTTCCAATAGGCCTGTTTTCTAGTAGTGTAGGCAGGCTGTACTGTCACCTCAGTTAGTTTCACTGACTCATCCAGTTCAATGGGCACTGGTACAAGTGTCTCAGCCTGTCTGCTTTCTCGAGCCCTCTCTTGCTCCAAGTCTAAGTCTTTGCATTACGTTGACTCACTGCCATCAGTTGCTTCGGGCCTTGATCTTTTGGATTTATTTGAGTGTCTGCAGGTAATGTCCCATGAGGATGATTATTCAAAGACATCGAAATCTGGCCTATCTACACTTCAATATTCTTAATTGTTGAATCATGCGCATCTACTCTTTCACTGATTTTTGCATTTGACCCAATAACCTGTTGCATCATTGCCTCGAGTCTAGCAAACCCATCTTCCTGTTGTCCACCATGCTGCTGCTGAGGAGGATGATACCCCTGCTGCTGATTTTGATTATTATATCCCTGTGGCCTTGGATAAGGTGCCATATTATTAGGAGGTCTCATACCTCCCATGTTTCCATTGTTGAACTGTGGCTGGACTAGTGTCGCGCCCCTTTTTTCTTGCGAAAATCGGGTTTGTGATATTTGGGAGACAACTTGTTCCCTTTGGAGAATTGGGTTTGAATTGAAGAGTCGCCACCTAATAATTTAAGTGCACTAGGACACTAAGAAAGGTTTGGTTTGAACAACCAGAGATTGGCTAAGGGCTTGAAATTATATCAACGGGAAGGTGTTAGGCACCCCTCGAGATCCACTAGTGTGGTTCCCGGCCAAGCTACTGTTGTGACTTAAGTGCAAATAACACATAGGCAAATAAAAACTTCAAATAAGAGGAAATTTTCACGTAATGGTTACAAATAAACAAAAGTAAGAAAAAAGAACTAAAAGGAGTTGATTTTCTTTAAAAAAAATGGTTTAAAAAGTGATTTAAAAGAAACAAAGAAAACAAAGGAAAGGGGGGGTTCTAGGTTTATTAATAATATGGATCACCCCACACAATATCCGGTAATCACTCCTCAGTGAGGGGCTACACGTGATGTTATTGCGTGGTTATCATATCCATATCTACCCTTTCCCACCCCGTTAAGGTATTAAAGCGCGGAATGGTCTCGTTTACTTATTGTATGCTATTACCCACCCCAATCCTATCAGCCCCGGAGGCATTTGGGACTACTAATCCTAGAGGGAGGAGGTATTGGACTTATTTGTGGTTTCAAAAGATAAAATACTAAGACGACAAACAAAACACATATAACAAGTTTGGGGAAGCATATAAACAAATAAAAGCGTTCAAACAGACCTCCTTTAAACCAAAGAAAGCACATAATATAGCATGACTTGCATGTATTGTTTAGGGTCTAATTAAAACTTAAACGGTGGAGGCAGATTGATTTATTACATAGTTCAGATAAAAAGCTCGAATCAGGCCTGCCTGTTGGTTGTAGTTAATAAAATCTGATTCAGTTTATAAACTTTCATATCTCTTGCCTGAGTGTTAGATGAAGACCCCTATAGGCATGATATCTATTGATTCTAGTAAAGGTAAAATATACTAATTTTAGAAAAGATTGTCAGTTATTCAGGAAAGACGAGCTTTGACAAAAGATCATAAATTTTGCAGACGTTAGACAATGATTTTAGATTTGTAGGCGAGTGAGACGTTTCAGACTTGGTTATTAATTCATATAGACATGCTTTCTAGGCGTTGTTGATTTTAAACATTTTTACAAACATAGCAAGAGTGCAAAAATCCTATAGGCATGACATTTAAATGTTGTACTTCGTTTAAGCCAATGAACATGATATCTAAATGCAGTTAGTTATTTAATCCCTATAAACATGTTTACCTAGTGACAGATGCATATGCAGGATTCGAATTTCCAATTAACTATGAGCATGGTATCTATATGAGAGATGCAGAAATTTAACTATAGGCAGAATATCCATATGAATGCAGAATTTCAGAAACCTATAGGCAGGATATCTATGTGGGTGCAGAATTCCTTATAGGCATAGTATCTACATATGAAAGTGTAGAATTCCTATAGGCAGGATATCTATGTGATATGCAGAGATCAGAAATTCCATATGAGCAGGATATCTACCCCTTTTACATACATGGTTACCCTTCCCTTCTCACTACCCATCCTCAAAAGTTATTACAAGTTATTACAGTCCAAATAAAATAAATAAAAATACATAAGAAATTGAAAATTACAACCAAGGAGAGCCTAATTCAGACTTCCTGTCTGAAGTATGAAGTAAACCAACTCCAAAGATCATGTTTCAAAGCCTTTCTCCCACTTGGGTATGTCAGAGTTCCCTAAGAGTTTCTTAAGAACTCTGGGTAGTGCTTACAACCAAATGTATCACCATATTAAGCCAAAGTGCAGTGTGGAAGGGTCAACTCTCAGGTGTCCAAGTTCAGTGGGAACTCAAGGTCCTAAGGCAAGGCTCACAAGAGGGGGGCAGAACATAGGAACTAAGAGAGAGTGCAAGTGCAGAATTCTGAAAGGGGGAATGGAAAGGGAAACATCACATATATGGATATAGGGAATGGGGAGTTGCAAGAGATAAAAAGTAGGCTAGTGGGCATAACCCAACAATGGGAGATGCTGGCACACCCATAAGCCTACTGGAACACATTGTTTAGATCCCCTAAGAGATCAAGTTCAATCCATAGATAATAACTTGTATATTGCCATATTTTAAACTGTAACTTAAAGCACATAAAAGGAAATGGGGAATAGGGATTCATAGCAGAAACAAGCAAAAGGGAATCAACATGCTAGTTTAAGTATCTAACTCTGCAGAAGTAGTAAAGTAGACATAGATGCAGAAAGTTGTAAGTAAACACATTGTGGAAATGCTGAAATTTGAAATTAGGACATACCAGTTTCAAAGAAACAAGTAGAGAAAAATGCAGTAGTCTGGTAAAAACCTCAGTGCAGACAAGAAGAGAGAGTTCTATTATGTGAGAGTGAGAATTCCGAAGAGATTCTGATGTTGTGAAGTCTGAAGTGTGTGTTTGTAAAAAGGGTCGTGCCCTTTATAATATAGAAAGCAGGCAGAAATAAAGTAAAAAAAATAGTTTGAAAACTGATTGTCAATCAATTACACAAGGCTTCCCTTAATTAAGGGATTCATATTTAAAACGAGTAAAACCATTTAAGGAAAGAAATTGAATAAACACTTTGTGTAAAGCATGCAATTGAGGGAAAATACATAAAGGTTATTGAAGGACAGGGTTTTGTCAGTACACAGTTTGTACAAATAAGGTAAGGGAGTCAATTAATGGCCAGTAAATCACAAGGTCTGAGATTTGGTATGAATGAACCAAGTCAGAAAAGATGAAAAAGGGTTTTACATAAGTCGAGTAACAGAGGAAATCAGTAAAAAAAATGGAAAGAAATCAATCAAGCTATATTCAAAAAGAAGTTTGCACTAATTGTAAATTTGAAAACCATTTAGAGGAAAATTCATCATATATAATGAGCATGTGATCATGAAACAAAACTGTCGTGTAAATCAGCAGAAAAAATCTAGTGTAGAAGAGTTTAGCAAAAAGTTCAGCATTGTATGAAAACAAAGATGTCCAAACTCAGTTCAGAGATTCAAAGTCAGTCTGAAAGTGTTAAGGGTTCTAAAATAAAACCCTAGTTCAATCAAACCTCGGCATAACCCCAAATTCTAGGGTTTCCACCTTGAATCAAGTACAGAGATGAGGAGGCAAGTAGTTGAA